GGTGGGGGGGGGTCGAAAGACTAGGAATTCGGTTCTACGCACCCTGGGGTCGTGGCTGTGGAGAAAACTGAGAGGGAATCTAGCAAACCTGAAACCAAAACTATGTAGAGTCTTGTATGAAAAAAGCGAGCCTATTATTACTGCAGGTATGGAAAACAAGCAAAAATGTTCAGTCTTCTACTAATCACGTCTGCACGAATCAGTTCTTGAATATAATGATATCCAAACATCTATGTCCAGACAAACTAGCTCACGACGCGGAGAGAAAAAAAAGGAAAAATAAAAATTAAAGGAAATTACTTACTCTATCTGCCAGATAAGCGTGACGTTCACAAATTCTGGGTGTTTATATGATATCCCAAGATCCCAAGTGCACGACATCCTCTCCCAGTTGTAAACTCGACATGAGATGTTCTGCACTGGCCTGGGTTCGTCTAAGGATATAAACAATAATTTTTTTTAAATTACAATATGTAATCGAAATAAGGTATCTGGACTAGTGGACTTGAAACTTCGTCTTCTAAAATACAAAAAGCATAATTTTATTTTTATAAAGAGATTTTGAGATAATTCTCAAATACAAATCCTAAAAATTCCCGTCTGGAATCAGTATGGCGAAGGCATTTCAGCCATAATAAGGTAACAATAACGTGTCCAATACTGTGGCGCCGGTGGCCTAGTGGTCAGGTTCTCAGACTCGTAACCATGGTCCTGGGTTCGAAACCCGTCCGGGATCTAACATTTTGTCTTTTGGAAAGGCACTTTTCACGAATTTTCCTCACTTCATCCAATTCAGAAAGGGCACCCAGCTATAGACACTGTTATATCTTGTCAGTTTGTTATCGTATGAACGTGTGTAATCACAGCTTACACTGTATGCTTCCCGGGAAAACGAGAATATTTATGAGAGTTTTCGGGTCTGCTGGGGTAATAATGGTTGTAATGCGCACATTATAGCATGCTATTGAGCGTGGGTATGTGCTATAATAATATAAATACAACCATTATTATCATCATCATCAACAGCAGCAGCAACAGCATTATCATCAACAGCAGCAGCAACAGCATTATCATCATCATCATCATCATCATCATCAGCAGCA